GTCGTTTATTTTCAAATAACCCTCTCTGTAAAATCCTAAATTGTAGGATAGTTTGGCCATTAAAATGCTTTTTGATTAGATTTCTAGCGAGAAGTGTATTCTACTTTTAGAATCCATGTCCAGTGGATGTGTTGGATCTATAGTTTAATAGATATTACGAAGATTATTTGAGGTCTCACCAGGAGAACGTGTATATACTACGTCTTTCCCCCTATTCATTTCTATTGAGGGCAGCATCCATGTAAAGTTAGCGTCAACCCTCACGGGGTGAAAACAGACTTTCCGGTCTCGAAGTTTTCATAATAAAACCGTATTCCCCTCACTGTCAAATGATTACACATTGATATCTGCCGTACTCATCCACTAAAAAACATCAGTTTATCCTTGTTAATTACACGACATTAATTGGTTTAAATTGTGTACAATGCTTTTGTGTTTTTCCCATTTTTTTCCGATTCTGAGACACCTTTCTTTTTTCAGGGGTTTTGATAGGCTAAAACATCGAACTAACCATAATCCTCAGCTATCGCTGAAGCTTGATGATTGGATGTTTTAGCCGCAATGCACCTTGGGATATGGTGTTTATGCGATGTGAAATCCGAAAATATTTAAAATAATAATAATACTTTATTCCGAGTGTGCTTGCTTTTCTCTTTGAAAGTCATCACATGACGGCATTGCAATACACGGTTCGGCTGCATTAAATATTACATATCTGCTGTAGTTCTTTATTTATAGAGCCCTGATTAGAAGACCTTTGGACAAACTGGAAGAAATGCCGCCGAAACTGAATACGTGTCGTGGATCATAAATATATCAGCAATTAAACAACATCTTCAATTTCTTTTCACACAATACGTCTCTTAGTAGTATCAACACTAATTCTGCTGACTTTATATTTGATCCAATTGGTAGATAGGCTATATTTACCATAACGGTGCACAGCTGATAGAAAAGGACTTGTAGTTTTTAAAGATATTACTGATTTTAGTCAGGGGTTTTGGGTGATGGGAGACACATCTATGGATTCAGAATTTCAATAGCTTAGCATTAAATGACGGATATATACGTTTCTGTCTATGATGTTTTACAAATCAGATATTAATGTGTAGAACTACAATATGTGAAATAATATAGCAATATCCCGTAAAATTATGTGAAAACATGAATAAAACTTCACATCTTCACTATATTATTTCACATATTGTAGTTCTACACATTAATATCTGATTTGTAANTCTCCGTCGAACCTATTTCTCTCCGAGTGCAACGTATGAGAAAGCTGCCATCCTTAACCTCAACATGTTTAAAACATAAAGATAAAGAGGTTCAAAAAAGCTATTGTTTAATGTTTTAAGGAGGTGATGCTCAGCCAATCAAAAAAGAGAAAGGTAGCGAAAACAGAGCATTTTATGACATTTTCTCTTATTGGACCTCTTTGAAATGCAATTGAATACCCCTGCATTATAGCAACAACAACAATAATAATAATAATAATAATAGCAATAATAATTGGGAGGGGGGGCACGGCTGTGATTATGTTCTCTGAGGAGAGGCTCACCTTCCCACACTTTGGGAACCCCAGAGCTAGAACAAGTGAAACTCATCATGAGCACACACAAACACTCACAGCCGAAGTAAAAACAACAAGTGTGGTTTGATATTGAGTAAGAAAAAGGTTTATAACGCTGTGAGCATGGGTCTGCGATCTCAACGTAGAA